AGCACAACATCAGCGATGCGTCATTGGGCTTTGCACGATGTTCGCGTGCTTGTCGGTCCGCTCCTCTGGGAGCCCACGCCGGGCCAGGAGGCGGGGCGGGGCGGGGCGGCGCTCGCCTCTCTGTGCCGTCGCGGCGCCGCAGAGGCGATCCGCTCGTGCGTCGAGCCAGCCCGGGATGCGGAGCTGCGCAGGGTCCCGCATGCAAGAGGGGGGCGGCGCCCTTGATCGAAGGGGTCCTGGGACACACACGTCAATAGACATAAATAACAGGATTCCCCATCTGTTCCCATGCTTTCTAGGTTTTTGTCTTGCCCCCCCCCCCTACGTCCCATATTTTCCCATATTTTCGTGAGAATCGACGATGAATTGTGTCTGTGTTTTTTTCCCTCCTGATTGATCCATGCTTGCGATCGCCCGAGCATGGTGCCGCATGCAAGAGGGGCGGCCCCAGGGGGGCGGAGCAAGCAGAGGACGGCCGCAAGAGGAGGAACAGGGGGGGGCAGGGAGGGAGACGCAAACGCATCGACGCAACTTCCAGGATCCCTCGCATGCTTCCAGCGTTTGGCACGGATCTTCTGAGCCCCCTCCGTTTATCGATCTTCCGAGCGCGTTCACGGATACGCATCATGCTTCTCAGTGTCCGTGTCTATGCCTCCCTCCTCGCTGACATCGCTCTGACGTCTATTCCCTATGCATGGCGTGGCTTCGTGTGCTTTGCTTTCTCCAGATGCTCCAGGGTGCTTCAGAAGTTCTGGCGCTGGCCTCGACGGAGAAGGTGCACGCGTCCGAGCGAGATGCCAGGGTCACGACGCGTCACGTCCGAGCGACCACCCCTGACAAGGCCCATCCTGGGCCCAGGCTTCGGTCGGGCATGCCCCCCCCTACAGGCGGACTTTGGGCGACAAATCAACATGCTCAAACAATACACCCAGTCAGACTATAATCAAAACATCGTCCCCAGACATTTTTTTTTTACTATTTTTCAAATTTTCCTCCTATTTTTGAAGATTCCTCCTGTAGAGGGACAGGCCCGACTTAAGCCCAGGAGCAGGTGTTTACCGTCAGCTCCGGGCGCTGCACGTTTCCACGCTCACGACGGGCGCTTGCGCCCCGTCTTTCGGGCCCCGGGGCCGTGGCAGATGACCGCGGCCCGAAAGAGAGCAGCAGAAAGATGGGGTCCAGGACCCCGGCCGCACTCTGTTGAGAGCTGCTGCTGCGCTCGTTGTCGCGGAGTGGGAGCTCGGGGTGCGCCTCCCTGGGGGTGACGGGTGGGCGCGGGAGGGGGTGCACACACGGGATCCGGGCCCAAAGAGGCGGGCCTGGCCAGCGGCGGCGGGCTGTTTTCTACGGGCGTGTGTGACAGATCTCGCCCACCCCGACAAGGGGGAGGCTCCAAAGACATCCTCACGCCGCCCTTCGCTTCCCCTCCTCCCCTTCCTCCTCCTCCCTCCCTCCTCCCTCCTCCCTGCCTCCCTCCTCATCCCCCTCCTACCTCTCCCTCTCCTCCTCCTCCTCTCCCTCCTCCTCCCTCCTCCTCCTCCTCCCTCCTCCCTCCTCCCTCCTCCCTCCTCCTCCGCCTCCTCCTCCTCTTCCGCCTCCTCCTCCTCCCTGCCAGGCCTGACCTGCATCGAATCCGGACGGCGGGTCGGATCGGAAGTGGGTCGGATCGCCAGCGAAGCGCCCCGAAGCGGATCCCACTCGAGCCGCCGCGCCTGCCCCAAGGCTGGCCGCGGCGGATGCCGTGAACCGAGCCGAGCCGAAGCGAACTCGGAATCGCGGCCCCAGCTGGCGCAGCGAATCGGAGGAGGGATGAGGAGGAGCGAGGAGGAGGAGGAGGAGGAGGAGCGAGGAGCGAGGAGGAGGAGGAGGAGGAGGAGGAGGAGGAGGAGGAGAAGGAGGAGGAGGAGGAGCGAGGAGGAGCGAGGAGGAGCGAGGAGGAGGAGGAGCGAGGAACGAGGAGCGAGGAACGAGGAGCGAGGAACGAGGAGCGAGGAGGAGGAGGAGGAGGAGGAGGAGAAGGCGTGGGCGGCCCTGCGCGTCTCTTGGAAGCAGCTGGGGACGCCCAGCGGCTGCAAGCCGCGAGAAGCCGCCAGGCTGGGAAGTCCAGGGCAGCCGCCGTGGCCTCTGGCTCGGCACGCGCTGGGCGCGTCAGACTGCATGCTGGCTGCCCCAGAGTGAAGTCGGGCCTGTCCCTGTACAGGAGGAGCATCCGAAACTGGTCAACACACAACATTCAGGGGAGGATGTTTCGACTCTCGTTGGATCATGTTGGCGTGTTTTTGTTTTGCGTATTCTTCATGTTTCCTCCAAATTCCGCCTGTAGGGGGACACGTCCGACTCAACCTTGGAGGAAGAAACACCGTATAAACATAAACGTTCGACGGTCCGCTCGACGTTCCTGGATCTGCGCTGCACCACCCTCCCTGCCGCGCGGGGCGCGCCAGGGGCGGCGCTGGCGACGCCGACAAGGGGGACCGGCGCAGATCTGAGCAATCCGCGCGGACCGTCGAACCTTTCATGCTTATGCATTTGCTTTTCGATGCTCGTGAAGCGCTTTGTGGCTTTCCAGGCGCGCCCCCCCCCCCCGCCCCCCCCACCTTCCGTGCGCGGCCAGGTCGTGCGACATGCTCCCAGGCGCTCTCATCGGCCCCAAGGCAGCTCACCGCCCTAAGAGGGGTGCGAGATGCCCCCAGACAGGCCCGAGACGCTGCCCCCCTCCCATCCCCGCCCCGAAAACAACGAGGCCCCGATAGATCCCCAGAGGTCCTATCAGGCACTAAGAAGCTCCGAAGAGGCACCCTCAGCGGCCTCCAGCAAGCCCCTGGGAGACCCAAACCACTCAAAACACGACTCGCTTGTAATTGGATGGTCAACCACTCAAAGCATGATTCCCTTGTACACGCACAAGAGAGAGGGTGGTGCCCAAACGGTTTCATGGGTGCGCATTCGATTAGGGGGTCGCTGCAGAAGCTTGTAGGGAGTCTGAATAAAGACACCCCACATGAGCTACACCACATCACTAGACCAAGATGGCGCCCCCCCCCCACTGGGGCTTCAGAGGTGACAGAAAATCACGCCTTTGGGCCGAACGCGACTCCAAGATGGGCCAAGAGGGCCCAAGAGGGCTCAGAGACAGTTCAAGAGTTGCCCCAAGATGGCCCAAGAAAGCCTCAAGACGTCCCAAGGATCCCTACGACGACCCAAGAGAGCCCAAACACCCCCAAAGGATCCCGCCTTGCCGGGCCGGTGAAATCCCAGAACGGCCCAGAAGACCCCCCAGACCGGGCCAAAGATGGCCCAAGAGGGGGCACCAGTGTGGCCCAAACGCGTCCCAAGAGACCCCAGAAACAGACCAAGATGCCCCCAAGGAGGCACTAAGAGGGGCCCCAGATGGGGACGTCCAAGGAGGCCCGTGGATCCAAGATAGGAATTCAGAATGGGAGTTGGTAAGGGAACTTAGTAGGGATGCCTTGTAATGCCACGTAGTGACCGGGGCAAGTAAGGGCCCATTCCAAGCTGGGATCCCGTCAAGGCTGTAAAGATAACAGGGAACGCACCGCAGCCATGTCGGATAAAGCCGAAAGAAGCCCCCAAGATGATCCCACGAGGCCCAAGGCGATCTAAGACCCCCAAACGGATAGTTCCAAAGACCCGGGACGTCTCAGGATAATTCTGTCAAGGCTACTCGGGAGAGCTCAGTAGAACTCCAGCGCTCAGTGCAGCCGCCAGACCCCCAACAAGCCTCCGAGAGGCCCTCCACGAGCTCAAACAGGCACCAAAGAAGCCCCCCGAAAGCCTCCAACGAGTCCCCAACGAGTGGTAAAGCAACCACCACCCAACGCTACGACAACGCAACGTTGCGACATCATGGCGCTGCCTCCCAGGCAGCCCAGAATAGCACTACCGAGCTTGTGCGGGAGAGCTCAGCAGAGCCGCACCGCACGCATTCCGACGCTGCGGTGGCACGGTGGCGCCGGTTGCCGCGGGCAGCCAGATGCTGCCAAACCAGCTGTCGAGGAGAGGGGGGGAGGAGAGGGGGGGAGGAGAGGGGGGGAGGAGAGGGGGGGAGGAGAGGGGGGGAGGAGAGGGGGGGAGGAGAGGGGGGGAGGAGAGGGGGGGAGGAGAGGGGGGGAGGGAGAGGGCCGAGATCTGGACCGTGCTGCGTTGGGGCCCTCCTCCTCACTACTGCGATCCCTGCCAGGCGAGCGTGCCGCGAAGAGGGCGCGCGGGGCAGCGAGAGGGGGGGGGGCGCGGCGGTCATGCGGGGGTGCCGCACTGGAGAGAGAGAGAGAGCTTTTCAGGGCGCAACGCCTCTCGTGCAATGTAAGCATAAGGGGGTCGGCAAGGTCAGTCCTGGAGCTGCAAGGCAGGAGTGCGCTCCTCACGTCGCCGACCCCTCGAAGGCTCCACGAAAACACTACAGCCACCAGGGGCGTCACAGTCACAGCAACACAACATGCACGAAGAGCGCGGGCATCGCACATCAGTCCTGCTGCGCCTGTGGCATCGGGGCGTCGCTGTCCTTCGCACCCTCGTCATCCCCGTGCACCTCGGAGAACATAAACTCCTGCTGGTACTCCAATAAGAACTGGGCACTCCGCTTCACGTCAACGAACAGGGTGTATACCTTTCGGATGTCCTGCACATCCACCTCTTGCGCCTTCCTTTTCATGGCCACCAGGTTAGCGACGGTGATCAAATGGATGGCATACCTGAAGGGGCCCTGGGACACAAACATATACACACAAACAACAGGATTCCCCATATTTTCAATTGTTTTCTGGGTTTTTGTCTTCCCCCCCACTTCCCAGATTTTCCTATAGTTGTGTTTCCTCCTGAATACCGCAGCGTGCTCTCCACGCCGATCTTCGTGAGCAGCTCCTTGGCCTCGTCCGTCATCTCGACGTCCTCTTCCTCCGCGCGGATGTCGAGGATCTTGCGAATCTCCCGCTGCGAATAGGGCTGCGTGGAGATGATAAGCATACGGTCCAGCAAATCGAGCGGGATACCGTGGGGGCTCTTGTAGTCGGTGCCTCTGATATTTGTGATTCCTCGATTCGTGGCCATGATGACGACTGGCGACGTCTCCGACTCAAGGGCCCGGTTAAGAAAAGAGAAACATTCGATGTCCAGCATGTGAACCTCGTCGATGAACAGCACCCCGGGCACAATGTCTGCCTTGCCCTCCTCGCGCCATTCCGCGACCTTTGCATCGATCTGCTCCCGGACCTCCCCCTTAATCTCGCCAGTGTCACCGGCGAAGAGTGCGAGGAAGCCCTGCTGCCGGCTGTTGATCACATCGATCTCATGCAAGTTCACCGTGTGCACCACCTCTTTCCGCTTTTGCAGCTCACCCTCAGGGCACTGCACGAAGCGCGTCTGAGGCCCCATCGCATCGTAGTCGCGGGATCTGGAGAAGGAGCGACCGAGCAACGAAATCTTCCCCGACGACTTGTCGATTGTGATGATGTCACCTGCCTGGATGCCCTCTTTCTGTATCGTTTCTATCATCTTCTGGCCCAGGTCGTACATGGTTTCCATCTCTGTTGTCTTCAACGTCATCTTTCCGAAAGTGGCAGCCTGCCCGTTCGCCGGGCGCTCGATCTCGATCTCCACCACCTCGCCCTCGATCAGCTCGGCTTCCTCCCGGATCCGCACCCCGATCGATCGCCTGAAAGCCTGCGTCAGGGCCTCCGTCTTGCTCATCTCCAGGGAGAAGATCTCCGAGCCAGCCAGGCACGTGAAGGGTGTGTCCTCTCCCAACGCCTTCGCCATGCCCATGGCGATCGCCGTCTTCCCG